GCTGGGTGCAGCATTTCTTCCATGGTTATTTGCAAGGAAGAATATATACCAGCTTAGAGGAATTATACGGACAGAATTCTTTTAAGAAGAGAAAAAAAAGACTAATAATTTTTATTGTTTCTTCTTCTCTTCAGAAAAGTCCTTAACCTGTCGTACCTCTTCGACAGCAACTCAGCTTTGTACCAATGCCGAATGCTATTCACAACAAGCAGAAAGTACCATTGGTAAGTGTATATACCTCTGGGAACATGTTCCAGTAGCTTTTCAATTTCTCATGCTGGCCAAATGTGGTGTACAAAATGTAAGAGGCCTTTAAGATTCAGGAATCTGAGAGAAAAATGAGGCCTGCTATGGATGCATGGAGTTGCAAAAGTCAGGAGTTATCGTAAAGTGGCCCCGAAATTGAAATATGTTCCTTTGTTATCTGAAATAAAGTGCATTCTCAAATGGAGAGGTAATCTTATGACCTGCCCACTGCATTATTTGGAAAGCGATTTCACCCCAAGCTTGATTAAAGTTGCAGCAGCTGCTTCACTCTTGACAGCAGTAAACCACCATTTCTTTTCAATCCGCTGGAACAAGCTACAGTTTCTGTGGCTAAACCAAGAAAGATATGCCAAGCATCACTGTGTTTCTTACAAAATATCACACAGTCCTTACAACACTGTTCCAGGCAGAGAGAGATCCTGTTTCCGTGACATCTTAACCCTACCAGACACATCATGACCCAACTTAGTCACACCTGCTTGTCAGCCACTGAAGCACAACCATTCTCTATTTCATTTGATCGATGACCAGCAAGTTACATACAAACATTTTTTAAAAGAAAAACCTATATTGTTCAGCCTTGCATCAGCTGTTACTTTATTTTCATGGTGGCAACACAACATTTAGCTACTGTACAGGTGATAGAGGTTTCCCTAACTGCAAGAAGGAGGTTCATATAATATTTATTCATTCTTCCTGGGTATTGATACATTTAGAGTAAGATATAATTATTTTGACTGTCCCTATTGAAGTTACAATAGAATAACATGTGGTAGAGTCTTTCTGTCATCCTGGATCTGGGATGGAGTTGGGGTAGAGTATCTACTCTGGAGAAGCGCAAAGGGAAGGATGTTGTATTTGGCCCTAGGAAATGTTTTTCTAATCCTGGGGAAGGTAAGACTATGTTAATATTTGCAGATTCCCAAATATCCTTTGCAACCCAAGGCCTGTTTTTCTGTGACAACCTGCTGATCATATCTTGATGCTTGGTATCAATTCATCTTTGGGTGTTAGTTTGGCCTGTTCATATCTGAGAACCATTAAAAAGTCTAGCACCACTTTCCAGCTGGAAGAATAATTGTCAGTAAAAGCTGAGGGCAATAAAGCTGTTGAGAAAAACTGGATCTTCATCCAGTAATTGACTATCAACACTCAAATTCATATGTCAATTTTAGACGTCCTTGTTTGCATTCTAATCATGGCATGGGGGCAGCAGGTGTGGATCTCAAAAAATTCATTGGTACTGGCTCTAATGCGTCCTCCTTGACATAGATTCCCATTTGTGCACCGTAAAGGACTTGGGCCAGCGCTTTACCTTCAAAAATGTACTGTTGCAGGTATTAGTTCTCCACC